ACCAAATTGCTATATTTTGCCTGAACTTCAAAGATCACTGGGACTCAAGGGAATCTTCCCTATTAAAAAAGACACTATTGTTTCATAGTATATCAAACTTTAGAAGACTATCTAATAGAACTTTTCTTAAATTTTGAAATTTTTACACACTTCATTTGCTGTCAAGTGATGAAAAGATTGTGTATCTCAATCAGATTATGTTTTCTTTTATAAAAGTATTTATGGAATTTCACTATGCTTAGTCCTCTTTCATGGCAGCGTTGTTTTGTTGTTGTTGTTGTTGTTGTTTGATTTTCAGACAATATTATACAATGGCCTCAGTGCAAGTGGTTATTAGCAAGATATTGTCCCAGAAATAGAACCCCAGGAAAACCATAGTAATAAATAAGGACTACTTGTTCAGACAACTGATATTTATTTCTAGCAAATGCTTTCTGAAACCTGAAAAGTAGTCCTCCATTTTGTATTTTCCAGCATGTTGGTAATAAAAATTTAGAAAGTAAACACAAGCTATTTCTAAATCCCAAAAAAAGTTGTTGGCGAGGACACAGGCTGTCCAATTCTTAATGCACACAGGGAGTGCTCAATAAATGTCACTGACTGATAGCATTAATTCCGAATGTTACTTCTCTTAGTCTAGGTAGTTGCTTAATTTCTCCTGAAAGTATGGGTCTTTTTCTCTAACCCAGAGTATTTAATATACTATTACTATTTTAAATGTAATATGTATTTGTTGAAAAAAATAAGGTTTTCTTGAGTATCTGTAGTGCACATTCCAGGATCTTGTGACTATGAAACAATTTACCATCTGGTACTGATATGGTTAGATAATAACCTAGCAGAATTTGGAGTATGATACTCTCAAACAAAGGAATCTTGCTATTGTGGTTGTAGTGTTTGGTTCAGTTTGGTTTTGTTTTTTCTGACCATCAGTGGAAACAGTCCTTAGTTTCTAAGTTGTTGGCAATTGTTTTTTTTTTTCTTTCCCCCCTGCATTGTTCTTCCTAAACCTACCTCCCATACGTGGCTTTAAAGTAAGTCTTTGAGGGAAGTATAAGATGTAGGACACTCAAATTGGGTGCTCTGGAGCAGTCATCAAGGACTCCCACAGTTTCCACATGTAGTTTTTGGTGTAAGCATGGAGCCAGCATAGTTGTATGAAAACCCTTAGTCTTGAGGTTTGGGACTCCAGAGGTCTCCCCAGTTTCAGTGACTTAGGCTACCATTTTACTTATTATCAGCTCTCCTCACACAGAGTGTATATCCTGGCTGGTACATCTGTCTTCCTATCACTTTAATTAGTTATGTGGAGGATTTTAATCCTTTGTGGGTGAACCATGAATTACATAGTTGTGCATTGTTTGATGACAATTATGATTTTTTTTCCTCTGTAAAATGCTTTCAAATCTATTTTTAACAACCAGAATTTTTACCATTTCTTCATAGCAGTTTTATGCAATAAATTCTCTACATCTCTAAGGAGCGAATATATAAAAGAAGCTAGGGCCTTTAAGACTTTTGGAAAACTTACTTTCAAGAGAACTATTTTATTGTCTTAAACACACAAAAATCTTTAAGCAATTAAATAAAACATTTTAACTTTATACATCTTATTTTTTGCTAAGATGTCTTTTAACATCCTTAACCCCATTCTTATCAAAAATATAGCCCACTTGCAGATCTCTTCTAAATTATCTTTATCATCATTGTCATTTCATAATCCTTTACATGTTCTTTAAGGAGAAATGATCTTACAGATTACTTAAGACTTTTCCTTTAAGTGTGTGATTTAAGAGTATCATAACAAGTAATCAGGAAGTTTATGTAATAAGATAATGTAATGGGATAAGCAGGCATCTGGTACTTATTTTTCCAAAATTGATCACCATTTTTTTTATTTAAAAAAAAATTTTTTTTTTACATTTATTCATTTGTGAGAGACAGAGCACAGAGAGAGACACAGAATCTGAAGCAGGCTCCAGGCTCCCAGCTGTCAGCACAGAGCCCAAGGCAGGACTGGAACTCACAAACTGAGAGATCATGACCTGAGCCAAAGTGGGACGCTTAACCGACTGAGCCACCCAGGCGCCCCAATTGGTCATCATTTTTTAAAAATTTTTTTTTTCAACGTTTATTTATTTTTGGGACAGAGAGAGACAGAGCATGAACGGGGGAGGGGCAGAGAGAGAGGGAGACACAGAATCGGAAACAGGCTCCAGGTTCTGAGCCATCAGCCCAGAGCCTGACGCGGGGCTCGAACTCATGGACCGCGAGATCGTGACCTGGCTGAAGTCGGACGCTTAACCGACTGCGCCACCCAGGCGCCCCAATTGGTCACCATTTTTAACAATACAGCAAGTAGATGCAAAATTAAATTAAGCTTATATTGGATTTAAATTTTAAATCTTATATTGGATATAAACTTTAAATTAAGTTTATATTGGATTTAACCAGTTGATCTAACTTATTAATGGAAAAATCTCTAACAATTACTGAAATTAGAGATTTAGAAATGAAATATTCCATTAGCTATCTCTACCACAATAGCAGCATAACGTTACACTTTGTTTCTTTACTCTGTCCCATCTTCTTAACAAACAGGGATGTTATTATCTGGTCTTATTTCACATCCTGACCTCATGCACTTGGGTTTGGATGACATGGTTTCTACTAAGGTTAAAAGACATATGTCTGTATATTATATTTACAACTAAGGACCTAAAAATTATTAGTAAATTGTCATTATTGAAACATCTTTGGGGATAAAAAGTATTTCTACTCTTCAAAGATTAGAGAACTGAGCATAATGGTTAACTGATTTAAGTCATCATGATATGACTGCTAAAACTGTGATATGAAATCTTGATTTCCAGATTTCTTGGATTTTACCTAAGTGATATATTAGTGTGTCAAAGTTCAAGAGCCACGTTCCCCATTTTGTTTAACTGTTTAAGAGAATGGCCTTACCATTTGCTTTTGCCAGGAAGTAGCTAAAAGATAATCAATTCTCCAGTACTTTGGTAACTGCTCTCTGTACTGGAGAGGAAAGGGTGCTTTCTGACTTGTTCTGGTTGTTCATGGCCCAATTCAAACCATGTTAACACTCTGGCTCCAACTAAGAGTTTCAGAATAAACAAAAGAAAGAACCATAACTATTTAACGCAGTAGGTTCTACATTTATGGAGCCCATAAGCTGATTTCGTGCTGAAAGTAAAAACAGTCTCAAGAGTTTAAATGAACTCTTCGACCCTGGAATTACAGCAAATTCAGGAAAATCAGGAATATGTTGGTAACCTCTAATCTTTTTTTAAACTGACCTCACCCTGGGCAAGTAACCATCTCCTGATGCCATTGTTGGAGACAGAATTTCTGGCCGAAAGATCAGTTTTCTGACTCAATCTGGCTTGCTATTCTTGGTTAATCATCCCCATTTCTCTCGACATTTCACTCTTCTGACTACAGTGGTGAACATTTATTTTCAGAAAAGACTTTTTCAAGTGATTCGGTTCCTCCAGCGGTTTCCCTCTTTATCCTGGCTAAATCTCCCTAACTCTCATTTCTATCGCCCTTGTTTCTGTAAGATTCTGCTAAACATTAGACACAGCACATGACCTCCATCCAGTCTTCCAGTGCCTCGGAACAAAACTGGCGCGGTTATAAGCTCCTCCAGGCTTGGCATTCAAGAGTCTTTAGCTCTTCAACTCTTAAAGACCTACGGCCTAAATTTTAAATTTAAAAAATTTTAAATTAAAGAAAAAAACCGCTCCCCTTTTTTAACCTTTAGTCCCGCCCACCGCCTCCCCCCCTCCAGCCTCCACGCGAAACTGCAGGAAACCGGAGGGGGCGGGGCGGTGACGTCACGACGCCGGTGCGTCACGGAACGGCGGCGGCTGCGGCGCTGGCGGTGGCTGCGGCAGCGGCGGCATTTTAGTCGACAGCGGCGGCGGCAGCCGGGCTGCTGCTCCTCCCAGCATCCCTGGCGCGGCCATTTCAGCCCCATCTTGGCGGAGGGGAGGGAGGTGCAGCCGCCGCTTCAGCAGTTTGAATTTCAGTTTCTCCGGGGTTTGCGAGCCGGGCGCATCGAGGAGGAGCCGAAGAAGCTACCACCGCTACCTCACACAGCCGGAGCGCCTCCGCTCGCCGGCCAGCGGGCCGCCGCCGCCACCACCACCACCACCACCGCCGCCCCTCACTCTCTCAGGAGCCGCGAGGGGAGGCCGAGACCGCCGCCGCCCGCCCGCGGGGGTGGCTCCCCTGTAAGGGGAGGACCGAGCTTGCTTTCCCCTCCCCCGGAGCGGGTTTCCGCCAGAGACAGTCGACATGTCCCTGGGGCTGAGCTCCGGCTAAAGCCGGGGAGGGGGCCGCCCGCCCGCGCCGAAGCTCCGCCGCCCGCCCGCGGACCTTCAGCCAGCCCCGGCCCGCCGCTCCTGGCTGAATTAGGAATCCCCGGCTCCAGACTCGCCACTCCTTCCCCTTCCCTCAGCGTCCGAGAGAGCCCAGAGCTGACGCCGGCACTGGCCTGAGGAGCCCGAGCGGGGCAGCACCGCCCCTCACGCCGCCGCCTCCTCCTCCCCTTCGCCCTCCCACTCCCACCCCCAGCCCGGCCTGCTGACCGCGCCGAGCGTCGAGCTGGACTGACCACGGCGGCCCCAGAGACGGGAGGAGGAAGCAGCCGGCCCGCCCCTGGGATCGCGCTCGCGCCGCCGCTGAGGGGATTGAATCGAGGCGCCGCGACTGCGGGAGGCGAAAAGGAAGGAGGAGCCGCCGCGCGAGTGCGACGGGGGCAGAGCCGTAGAGACCGACACTGAAGGAAACGGGGAGGAGGATGTCTCGCAGGGCGGCCAGCGTCCGGATCAGCCAGTGACTTTTCACAGCGGCGGGCCTCAGACCCCAGCGCGGACGCGGACTTTGTCTTTGGGGGCCCCTGCTCTGCCCTTCCTGGTTTCCGGCAAGATCGCAGAGGAGCCGGCGTGCCTCTCTGCCCTCCAGCCTTCCTCACCATGTCCAAGATGCCGGCCAAGAAGAAGAGCTGCTTCCAGATCACTAGTGTCACCACGGCCCAGGTGGCCACTAGCATCACCGAGGACACCGAGAGCCTGGACGACCCGGACGAGTCACGTACGGAGGACGTCTCCTCCGAGATATTCGACGTCTCTCGGGCCACGGATTATGGCCCTGAGGAGGTCTGTGAGCGCAGCTCCTCGGAAGAGACGCTCAACAATGTTGGGGATGCGGAGACTCCCGGGACCGTCTCCCCAAACCTCCTCCTGGACGGGCAGCTGGCGGCCGCGGCGGCTGCTCCCGCCAACGGAGGAGGAGCCGTTTCGGCCCGGAGCGTGGCTGGGGCGCTGGCTAGTACCGCGGCGGCGGCGGCCGCCACCTCGGCCCCCTCCGCGGGAGCACCCGGCGGTCCCCCGGTCGCGGGCTCGTCTGCCGGGCCAGGGACTGCGGCCCCATCGCAGCCCCCCGCCACTTGTAGTTCCCGATTTCGCGTGATCAAGCTGGACCACGGGAGCGGGGAGCCCTACCGACGCGGCCGATGGACGTGTATGGAATACTATGAGCGGGATTCGGACAGCAGCGTCCTGACCAGGTCCGGGGATTGCATTAGACACAGCAGTACTTTTGACCAGACTGCGGAGCGGGACAGCGGCCTGGGCGCCACCGGAGGGTCGGTGGTGGTGGTGGTGGCCTCCATGCCGGGGGCGCACGGGCCCGACTCGGGAACTGACAGTTCCTTGACTGCTGTGTCACAGCTACCCCCGTCGGAGAAAATGAGCCAGCCCGCCCCGGCCCAGCCGCAGAGTTTTGGCGTTGGGCAGCCACAGCCACCGCCGCCCGTAGGTGGGGCTGTGGTTCAAAGCGCGGCTCCAGTGCCGCCGTTCCCGGGAGCCGCGGCCGGGCCGCAGCAGATGATGGCAGCCCCGCAGCCCAGCCAGCCCCAGGGAGCCGGCCCCGGCGTCCTCCCGCAGGGGCCCAACGGACAGGGTCTACCGCTGACGAATGTAACCCTGACGCAGCCCGGCATGCCCCTGCCGCCGCAGCCCGGCCCGACCCTCGGAGCGCCAGCGACGCAGCAGCCTCCGCAGTTCGCGTACCCCCAGCCTCCGCTCCCGCCCGGGCATTTGCTGCCCGTCCAGCCCACGGGGCAGAGTGAGTACCTACAGCCGCACGTGGCCGGCCTGCAGCCGCCAAGCCCTGCTCAGCCCTCGTCCACCGGCGCCGGAGCGAGCCTCGCCACGCCTGCCAGCCTGCCGGTGGGCACCGGCCAGAATGCCTCCACGGTGGGTGCGCAGATAATAGGCGCGTCTTCCCTGCCCGGTGAAGCCGTGGCTCCAGGGCCGGGACCCGCGCAGGGCGGGCAGGCCGCGCCTGGTCAACCGGCTGGAGTGCCCCTGGCCGCTGTAGGATGCGCGGTGCAGCCGGGCCTGGTTCCCCCTGGGACCGGGCAGCCCCAGTCCGTGCCTCCGCCGCAGATGGGCGGCAGTGGTGCGCCGTCGGCCGTGCCTGGCGGCCCCCACGCCGTGCTGCCCGGAGTTCCAAACGTGCCTGCAGCCGTGCCCGCTCCAAGCGTGCCTAGTGTGTCTACCACCTCTGTTACTATGCCAAATGTACCCGCGCCTCTGGTCCAGTCGCAGCAGCTGAGCAGCCATACGCCAGTCAGCAGGAGCGGCAGCGTAATCCAGCATGTTGGGCTGCCCTTAGCGCAAGGCACACCCAGTGTACCAACAAGTCTACCACAGTCTGACTTAAGCCAGTTTCAGACTCAGACCCAACCTTTAGTCGGGCAAGTTGACGATACTAGAAGAAAATCAGAACCCCTACCTCAACCACCACTTTCTCTCATTGCTGAAAATAAGCCTGTTGTGAAGCCTCCTGTTGCAGATGCCCTGGCAAACCCCCTTCAGTTAACACCTATGAACAGTTTGGCCACCTCTGTATTCAGCATAGCTATTCCTGTTGATGGTGATGAAGACAGGTATGGAAATCTTATTTAAAATATTTGTTAGAAATGCTTGACCAAACATTGCAGTTTAGAATGCAGCTCGAGTTCTTTTTTTCAACTTGAGGCCCTTAGCATTTTTAAATACAAAAATTTCTTTGTGTTTGTTTATTAAGATTTGTCAGTTCTTGAAAGGGCATTGGTTTTAGATTGCTAATGTAACGGTGTGTAATGAGAAAATTGGTCTTGTTTAAAAGCACTGACGTGGATAAGGCACAACATTTGTTTATTCAAAAAGGTGGATTTAAGCTTCATTCTATACATTTACAGGTGGTAACTAGACTATGCCCTATTGGATTGTTCTTTTCTTAGGCAACAGTCACACTTGAACACTTATGGCAAGAGAGTTCTGTCAGTGTGAGTTTTGATACCAAGACATGAAATTTGAATTTTTCCATTCTGGAAAACCAGAGGTCCTCTAACGGGGAAAGATCCATGTAAGGTATCTCTTCCAGTGTATCCGGAGAGGCTGGAGAGAGAATGGTGAAATGTCAAGCCCGGCTTTGAAGATCATATTGTCCTCCAGCCTTTTTAATAAAAGGAGATAGAAATAAGGTTCAGGAGGCTTCCCAGTGACTTCATTAAGGTCCTTTTTTTGTTTTGTTTTTTAAAGCAAATGTGTTTGAAAGATATTCTCTTCCATTAGTTTTTCTTTTTCTTTTAGCTACAGGAAAGGAGGTATGAAATAAGATTCTTTGACAGTAGTAAAAGCTACAGTTCTTGAAATTAGAGTAATATGATTAGTAAAAGTATTCGTGTCAACAATTGGCTCCCTCTATTTAAGGGATGCTTTTTTAATGGTTTAACTGAAAGTTGGTGTATTGCCATACCAATTCTATAATAGTTGATGTTTGGTTATGGTTCATTGAGGATTTTAAGTGGTTTTGAGGAAATGTCAGAGGGAAATTTGACATATATTGCAAATTTTTAAAAACCGACTTGTTACAAAGCTTTAAAATTACATTTTAAAATTACAGAGAAAGTTCCAGGTACTTTACGGTTAGGCATTTATTTGCTGGGATTTTTGTTTTGAGAGAGGTTAATTTTAAAAGATTAAAAGATATCTTTATGGATTTCTAGAATAATTGGTATGTAGAACAATGAGATCTGTTAAAGCTTTTTCTTCCTCTGTGTCTTCTGAGTTCCTTCACATTCTTTTCTTAACTTTTCATTTCCAATTAGCCTTGTATTTTTGTTATATACTTTTGTTGGTTTGAAAATTGCTCACTGAAATTCATCTTCTCTGCTTTTTGTAATTCAAAGTTCATCTTTTTTTGTAGGTGACTTGCTTGTTGGGAGTCTTTCTTCCATTTGAGAACTCTTAGAGAATACCACGTGTCCATAAGTGAGCTCAGCTAGCTAGTCATTGAGAAATTTTATATGGATGGGACTACCAAGTAAAGAAACTGATTCCACAAGCCATTCAGAAAAATCTCTTTACATCTGCTCCCATATTTCACTTTTCACACATAGGGGTACACTTGAAGTGCAGATTGAGTTTGTTTGTTTACCTTTGGTAAAAGGCAACAGGTATCTTCCCTTTTCTAGCTACCAGAAGCCATTTTTTTCTGATGGGTTGGTAAATAACCATTTGCTTGCCTCTCTGTTCCTGTTGTACATTGTCCCCATATCTCCTCAAGAAATGACTGGTTTCCCAAACCACACCCTCTCCTTGCAAAGCACATGCACATCTATGAATGAAGAATGTATTTTCTCTCCTCCTCACACCTTTCTCAGTTTACAGCATATGTAATTACATTCCCCAGGACTTGAATATGATGATATGGCATGAAGCAGAGAGATCTGTTGACAAATGGAAACTCTGGGATGTATTCTTTAGGGTATGACCTCAAAGATGAAATTATTTATCCTCTTATTTTATTAAAAAAGTTGATAATTTTAAGAATCTTATTTCCCAGTGTGAATGTTTGAACCACAGATACTACCGTATCTGTTCTTACTGCAACAGTTAATCCAGTGCAGGGGTTTTGATATGTGTTCAGTCCTGTATTAAATGTGGTATACTTCCCTTCCCCTCCCAGTCTTTTAAAATCTGCATTGTTTATCAAATGTGCATTTCTTACTTTTGTTGCAGTTTTTCATTGGTTTTTAATTTAACATGCTAGTTTTCAAGATGTAATCTTACACATTTGACTATTTTGTCACTGGACCAACACACCTGGTGAAGGAATAAATCCATTAAGTAGAAATAGTTTTTTTGTTTTGCTTTTGTTTTTAATGGAAAGGCTTTGTAAAAGAGAGGGCATTTTAAAGTTGTGTGCTTGAAATTAAATGACACAGTTTTTCTAGGTGTATGTTTAAATTACTGAGATGACTATTTTTGAGGTAACTGTACTAACAAAATCATAATTTTAATATGGTGATTTGGGGTTGCCTTCTTAAGTTAAAATCTGCCTACAATTTTAGTTGCAGTCATTTGAATGCAAAATAAAACATTAGAGTGAGAGATATTGAGTAATTACGACTTTAACTTTGTGAATAGGTTGACAAATTTCAGCTCCTAAAAATTTATAAATATTTGCTTTTTTTTTTTTTTAAAGAAGATATCAGTAAACATAGCCTAGTCCTTTGAGAAAAGGAAGGAAAATGGAAGATTAACAAAAATGACTGACCAAACCAATGATTCTTTTGGTTTGATATATTGAAAACTTTATCTTGTTATTTTGGTTCCATTACCTAAAGGAAGGCTTTGTTTTGTGACCATTTATTTTGAAGAAGAGGACCTTCTAATAATACATTTTAATAATATACCTTTAAGAGGGCTGATGGTTGTATATAGAAAGCAAGAAGATGTTTTAAAGTTCTTAGTTAACATTGTCTTTTGACTCTCTATTATCAGTTACCATAAAGTTTACATATTATTCTAGCCTTTCTCATTGAAAAGGCTTATGTCAGTTGTTGATTCTTCAAACTGATTTTGTGTAAACTGGAGGATATAATAATGGTTGAAAATATAGTTCATAAAAAAAACAGCCACTTTTACAGTGGAAGTTACAACATTTGTTTAAATTACCTGTACCCATGGGGCGCCTGGGTGGCGCAGTCGATTAAGCGTCCGACTTCAGCCAGGTCACGATCTCGCGGTCCGTGAGTTCGAGCCCCGCGTCAGGCTCTGGGCTGATAGCTCAGAGCCTGGAGCCTGTTTCCGATTCTGTGTCTCCCTCTCTCTCTGTCCCTCCCCCGTTCATGCTCTGTCTCTCTCTGTCCCAAAAATAAATAAACATTGAAAAAAAAAAATTTAAATTACCTGTACCCTTAACAGACTCCTTTTCTGTAAATGGGGAGGAGTGCAAAATATTCCCTTTTGGAAAGGGAGCACAGTGCAGATCGTTTTCCACAGACAGCTGACCAACGTGAACTCTGTAGGCCACATTCCAGGAACTCTTATGAATGGATGCAATTGTGAACTGTCAACTACAACCAAAAGATTGTTGAAAACCTGATTGTAAGGATCCCTTAGTGGCCAATATCTCTATATCTTGTTAATGGTTTTATTTGTGTAGTTTGCTAATGACTGATTAAGTATTATAAATTGTGAATGTTAAGTGGTGTATCCTGACATGTGCTATATATACAAATTTTGTTGCTACAGTTATACATATATCTCATATACACACACACTTTTAACAGAGCTTTTTAACTTGCTGTTTAAGTGAGAAGATTATGCAAATGTATATCAAGAGATTGTAACTCTTAACCTTTATCATAAAATCTATAGATACTTCTTAGAGCTCAAAAAGTCTCACTACATTTAGTCTTTACAAATGAAAGCTCCTTAGCTGAATCTGTATTTCTTGGGAGCTTTTGTTTCTTTATCTATATTGAGTTGTAGAGATAATTTTGCCCTACTAGATTTACAGTTGATGTTTAAGTCACACACACTAGATAGTATCTTACGTACTCTTATCAAGGATTTTGTAATCAGTGTAAAATCCTGCGTGTGAGTGACATTATTTAGTATAAAAACTGATAAATGGTGGATCCATCAGAGTGTCACACTGATTACTAAAATATACTTTGGTTATAAACATGGCTTTAAGTAAAGGAAATTATCATAGATTTCCGGAAAGATTGATGGTCCAAAAGTACCCAAAATTCCCAAAACTGAGTTTTATCAGTAGGAGTATGACTTTTTTTTTTAACAGAGACATATATATTTAAATTTTTATATGAACTAAATTCTGTAGGCTAAACATTGGATAACCATTAGAAAACATAATGGCTTATATGTGTGTGGGTAAGACACACTCTAAGTAACTATTTTAGTAACACTGTTTTTTCCCTGTGGAGGAAGTAGGGTATGTTAAACTAAATTGCTTCTATTGGAAGTCTTTTTTTTTTTTTTTTTAAAGTACTGGTAGTGTGGTATAAATGTTTTCTACTTACTGAGAATAAATGTAATATTAATCTGTTGAAAATTCTGATAGCACTAATTTGGAAATCGTAAAACATGATACTGGATTTATGGATCTGGTACTTGGTCATTTGGAATAGAGTTTAGTCTTTCTGTGCACCAGATGAGATTGGAAGCAGTCCTGCTCTCTAGTGTCCTAGTAACAAAGAGCACCCCAACAATCAGATGGTAAAGAAACCAAAATGAGTCTCTTTACTGAGGAATGGTTGATAGGGGAATATAAAAAGGTCTTGACTTTTCTTTCCTAAAATAGCAGAAGTTGGGGCAGGGGTAGTTAGAGAGTGATGGCACATAACCAAGACAGAAGAAAATAGAGCGAAATGACATGAAATACGGTCTCAGAAGGAACAGCATCACTTGTTACTAGTGAGAAAAAGCCATCTAATTTCTTTTCTTAATAATTGTTTTAGACCAATATGTATTTCCTTTTCTGAACAGATAGTGTTTATTTCTTAATTGCATTGCAATTTAAATACTCTTTAAGTATGAGGAAGAAAGGGTTTATAAAAACAGGTCTGTCTGGATAAATGTAGCCTGAATG